CAATATAGTAGAGGAAGGAAGACGCGTAAGTGTCCCCATAGATGAGAGGAAGGATGAGGGGTAAGTGTCCCCATAGATGAGAGGAAGGATGATGGGTAAGTGTCCCCATAGATGAGAGGAAGGATGAGGGGTAAGTGTCCCCATAGATGAGAGGAAGGATGATGGGTAAGTGTCCCCATAGATGAGGAAGGATGATGGGTAAGTGTCCCCATAGATGAGGAAGGATGATGGGTAAGTGTCCCCAGAGGTCGGCACTCACCTGTCTCGGCATCGTAGGCATTGCCGTCATTCACCAGTAGCTTGTCGAATGGAATGGTTCCGGCCTCCAGTACCGGGATGGTGAGAGCCGCAGAGAAGGAGATCTCCGGAGTATCCGGCGCCGGGCCCGTTGGACCTGGAAATAGAAGCAATGTGTTATATTCCCTCGTACACTCGCTGACACTCTTCCTTCCAGCACAACACCTCCCCCGTCTATACCTCCACCCCAACACCTCCCCCGTCTATACCTCCACCCCAACACCTCCCCCGTCACAGAGCCCGCCATAGACTCTCTATGGGCTCTGGGGGTCTCAGGTGGGCTGCACCCCTCTTATATGTCAGCGCGGTCCGCCTCCGTGGTCGCCGAGCACCGCCTCCTCTTTCATCGTCCAGCCCTGTCTTCTCCTCTATCGATGGACCCCGCCTCCTCTTACATCACTGGCCCCTCCTGCTCTTAGGTCGCCGGGCCCCGCCTCCTCTTTCATCCTCGGGCCCTGTCTTCTCCTCTATCGATGGGCCCCGCCTCCTCTTACATCACTGGCCCCTCCTGCTCTTAGGTGGCCGGGCCCCGCCTCCTCCTTCACTGCAAACGCCGGGCCCAGTCTCCAGTGTCAGTGACAGCGACTGTGAGGAAGAACGCGCCGCGGCACACATCGCTGACAGGTTGTCGGCGATCTAACAGCGGCGTGTTCCTCTTGACAGCCAGCACCCTGATATGCCATAGCCAGGCGGCCCGCACGCCATCAGAGGGATGCAATTACCGGGCCCCCCTGTGCCCGGGCCCCATAGCGGCCGCCTGGGTTGCTATGGCGATTGTTACGCCACTGACATTAACCCTCC